ATTGCAACCTCAACTCCTAGGCTCAAGTGATCCTCGTGCCTCAGCCTCTGGAGTAGCTGGAACTACAGGTGCACATTACCATGCCCAGCTAATTTTTCTGTTTTTTGTAGAGACAGAGTCTTACTCTTGTTCAGGCTGGTCTTGAACTCCTGGCCTCAAGCAAATCTCCCGCCTCGGTCTCCCAAAGTGCTAGATTGTAGGTGTGAGCTATCACTCCTGGCCTTCTTGCCTTTCTTAATCCATGGAAGAAGTGGTGTGAAATTACTTCTTCTATACCATCCGAAAAGGCTTACACAGATGATTTAAAAAAAAATAAAACTGAACAATAAAATAGAAAAATGGACAAAGCATGTATTGGAAGGTTTATGGAAAAAGAAATACAAATGGTCAATAAATATATTAAAAGAGCCTCAGCTTCACTCATAAATAAAGAAATGCCAGTCAAGACAGTAATTCAGGTACTATTTTTCATCTGTTATATTGGCACAAATGAAAAATTTTGATCATCATTGTTACTTGAGAGAGAGAAATTGGTGCAAACTTTCTGGAGGGCAATTTGGCAGTATCTGTCATGATTTTTTAAATGCACATACTTTTTAACCTTATACTCTAACAACTTGGAACATATTTAGTGGACATACTCCCAAAAGTTTGCTAAGATATATTTATAAAGATGTTAGTTGAAGTATTATTTGTAATAGTAGAAATCTTGAAAAACCTATGTTTATTAGTAGTGGACTGGTATAGTAAATTATAGTATGTCCTTATAATGGATGGTAAATCTATTGCTCATATGAAAAGTTAGCTGAGATGTTTTATTAAGTGAAAAGAAGCAAGACGTGGAACAACCTGCATAGTATAATCATCTTTTTGTCATTTTAAAAATACATGGTTAAATGTATGCTGGTATAGGCATACCTTTTTTTTTTTTCTTCTGGTAGGAATCACAGTAAACTCAACAGCTGAAGAGACAGAGTGGGGTGAATCTTTCTAACCATATGTTTATTTACTTCATTGGCAACAGGGATAGTCTAGGTGATGGGATTTGGACTTTTTTGCTTTCTTCATAATTCTCTATTAAATACAACCTAATAAGTGTTACTAAAAACAAAAATAAATGGTCTGTAAGAAGTTACATAATGCTTAAATAGGTCTTACCAGTTGTAACTATTAATACTCTATTATTTTTCATTAAGACCCCTGTTCAGATTAAGGAATTTGGTGCTGTGTCAAAAGTAGACTTTTCTCCTCAGCCTCCATATAATTATGCTGTCACAGCTTCCTCAAGAGTAAGTATAATGTGAAATTTCTTTATTTTTCTTTTGTATAGTTTACTGCTGATCTTGAGCCATCTGGTGAAATACTGTTTTTTATCTTGTAGATTCACATTTATGGCCGATACTCCCAAGAACCTATAAAAACCTTTTCTCGATTTAAAGACACAGCATACTGTGCGACTTTTCGACAGGATGGTAAATTGCTTGTGGCTGGCAGCGAAGATGGTAGAGTTCAGCTTTTTGATATAAGTGGGAGGGCTCCCCTCAGGCAATTCGAAGGCCATACAAAGTAAGAGACAGTTGGTTTTGTGTGTTCTTGTTTTCTTTTATTTTATTGTAAGCTCTGTTCTTTCTCTGGGCTTTGATTAAAAACATAGAGAGCAGTTCTGTGAAGATTATGTACCTCCATGTACCGTATTTCCTGATTGTTCTAAGACAGAATGCTTAACTTTGGTTCCATGGTCCAGTTTCATGGGGCTCATGAATTTTAGTGGGGCCTCGAATTGTATATGACATTTTAGGAAGCGCACGTTTATCTAGGGAGATATTCTATAGCTTTCATTAACTTCTCAGTAGTGTTTGTGAGCCAGTTGAGGTTATGAATTACTGACCTAAAGACAGCCTTACAGCTATAGAACTCTATAGGCCTATACTATCTTAGATGCTGTCATGTTGAAGTCAAGTTGGAAGGTGAATTTTATTTTCATCTTGAATGTGTAGTATTTTGCCCCTTGATACTGAATGGCCATCACAATTTTATCTTATAACTCTGTTTTCAGCATTACTAATGTCATTGCCGAAATTTGCTATTGATTTAAAATCTCAAGTGTTTTTTATTGT